AAAAGTTGAAATACTTATTAATGAAGATTAGACCATAGGCTTCAATACGGATTGCACCTCAATATAAAGAAAACAAGAATCTCAACGCTGGACCAATAAATAACATCATGATAAATGGGGCAAAAGATTGAAGTTTTCAAAGACTTCATTTTGCTAAGATTCACAATCAAAGTTTATGGGAGCGTCAGTTAAGAAATCAAAGAATGCATCACACTAGGCAAACCTGCTGCGAAAGATGTCATTTAGAGGACTAAGGTGCTCCTGGCCCAAGCCATAGTATTTGTAAAAGTTGGACAATGATTAAGGAAGACGGTAGAATGATAGATGCATCTGAATTGTGGTGTTGGTGAAGAATATCACAGACTGCCAGTAGAACAAACAAATGTTATGTTGAAAGAAGTACAGTGAGAAGTGCTCCTTAGAAGTGAAGCTGAAGTCTTCATCTCTTGCATTTTGGACATGCTGTCAGGAGGGCTCAGTCACTGGAAAAGGACATCATGTTTGTTAAAGCAAAGGTTCAGCCAAAAAGAGGAAGACTTCCTCAACGAGATGGATTGATACAGTGATCGCAATAATGGGCTTGAACATAGCAATTGTGAGGATGGCCCAGGGCAGGCAGGGCTTTGTTCTGTTGTGTATAGAGTTGCTATGATTCAGACAGCACCCAACAAAACATAACAACAGTTGGTAGGCTGATAGGTTGTAAGCCTGGATCTGTTACAAGGATGAGCTTGCCCAAGAGTAAAACCAACATACTTCAGCAGAGTTGCATAACACCGAGTATCAACTGAAGCTCTTGATCCAGCCACAGACTCCTGGGGTTTTCAGGTACTTTCCATGTCCAGCGTAGGTGAGTACTGTTCACAGCTGGCAAGTGCACAATGAAACTCAGTATCTCCTGGTATTGGGCTAAAAGCAATGTGGGCAACATCTAAGTGTTCTGCTTCAGAGGATATGTGAAAGGACATGTGAAACCTGTTTCTCCCTTTTAGTGTCCAGAGATGAGATCTCTAGTTTTAGGCAGATCTTCAAAAACCACTATTTGAAAATTGTTCATTTTAGTGTAACTTGAGATAATCTGGTTTTGTGGATTTCATCTTAAAGGGCTGGCATCTGCCTGAGAGGCATTCCTTGAGTTGTGACACCATGTTGTGGAAATCATCAGATCCCAACCACAATGACCATGGGCTGGCCAGCTGGCTGAAGCTTGTAACACTGCTGCCTCAAATCCAAGTCATGGCACCTGGGGGTGGTGGGTGTCTTCTGACTGATTAGTTCCTCAAACCACAGCACCCTGAAAACCCCAATCTAGAGAGAAAACCTCCATTTGGAGGACTGTTGCAGGACCCTGTTTGAGCTGACCAATGCAGGACTGAGTAGCCTGAGCTTCAGAGTACTTACAAAACTCATACTGCCTCCTCTCCCTGTCTGGTAAAGCAGAGATGGTTGTTCTTTCTTCAATCTTTTATTGTCCCTCTCCCTGTATCCTAGCAACTACGAGGTTAAGTGGTTAAGTCCCACCCACTCCCTTCCCCTTGGTGAGGTAAGCCTTGAGTTAATAGGTTTTAGAAACCTGTGTGTAAACTAGTCCTCAAAGCAAATAGTTCTAGTTCAGTTTATCACTTCTAGGAGAAAGATGACCAAGAACACAGTTAAACAAGTATTAAGAAAATCAAGTGTGGAGATCAGAAACTACTTAGAAGAACTCAGTGCTGGAGTACAGCAGAACAGAGCTGATGTGGTGGCATCAGGGGCCAGTACACTATCCTAGAGCCAGGGTCTCTGCATTGCAGCATTCCACACACTCATTAGTTCAGGTGAATTCAAATCCTGTTGTCAAAAGAGCTGAGTAGTCAGGGACAACAGACTTAAGCTCTTTGAACTTCAGTTTCTTGTAGTGCCCTGGAAGTCAGTCAGGGTTGCTGTTGCTGCTAGGTGGCATTGAGTCGGTACTGACTCATAGCGACCCTATGCATAACAGAGAGAAACACTGCCCAGTCCTGAGCTAACCTCACAATTGTTGCCATGCTTGAGCCCATTGATGCTGCCTCTTTGCCAATCCATCTCACTAGGGGTCTTCCTCTTTTTCTCTGACCCTCCACCTTACTAAACATGACATCTCTGCAGTGACTGATGCTTCCTGACAATATGTCCGAAGTATAAGAGACAAAGTTTGGCCATCCTAGCCTCCAAGGAGCACTCTGGCTGCACTTCTTCCAACACATCTGTTGGTTCTTTTGGCAGCCCATGGCACTTTCAATATTCTCTTCCAATTCCATAACTCAAAGGCATCTTCTACGGTCTTCCTTATTCACTGTTCAGCTTTCACATGCATATAAGGTTATTGAAAATACTGTGGCTTGGGTCAGGAGCACCTTAGTCTTCAAGCTGACATCATTGCTCTTCAACACTTTAAAAAGGTTTTGTGTGGCAGATTTACCTAATGCATATGTCCTTTGAGTTCTTGACTGCTACTTCCATGAGTGTTGATGGTTGATCCAAGAAGAATGAAGTCTTTGACAACTTCCATCTTTTCTCTGTTGATGAGAATGTTATTGGTCCAGTGGTGACAATTTTTATTTTCTTTACATTGAGATGCAATCCATACCGAAGGCTGTGCTCTTTGACCTTCATCAGTAAATATTTTAAGTCCTCTTCACTTTCATCAAGCAAGGTTGTATCATCTGCATATTTCAGGTTGTTAATGAGTCTTCCTCCAATCCTGATGCCACGTTTTTTGTCATATAACCCAGCTTGTGAGGTTAGATAGGGCTATGTATACAAAATATCTCTGCCTGATGTACTCTGTTCAACAAATTGACAATGATTAACTGTTGTGTTTATATCCATCAGTATCATTTACACAAAGGTTCTGCTCAGAAAACGTGAGCCCAAGAAGGCACTTGCTACTACCAGGATCAAAAATCCCTTTTTTTTCAACAGTGAACAAACCCTTAGGCAAAGTAGGTAGCAGAAGGTAAGGGTGGGTGCCTCTCTCTCCTCACCTAAGAAAAAGCCATGTCAGGTCATCCACCTGTTTTTTTCCCTTCTACATTAACTTCAATGACAGATGTTGTTAAGCACCGTGGAGTTGGTTTTGACTCATAGTGACCCTGCACAGAGTTTCCGAGGCTGTAAATCTTTATGGGAACAGAAAGCCTCATCTTTCTCCCATGGAACAGGTGGTAGTTTTGAATTGCCGACCTTGAGGTTAGCAGCCTGATTCGTAACCACTACGCTACCAGAGCATATATCAATGACAGATATAATAAAATAAAAACTCTTAAGTCATATCTACTAAAAGCATTTTTTTTGCACATGGCTTAAAAATATCAATGCTTGATCAAAGACACACCCAGCATATTTACCAGTAAGCCATCCACAAATCAGATTTTCTACATCTCAAAATGGTCTACCTTACTGGAGGACATCAGGGTCTATGCCCTCTCTTAATAGTTTTAAAGATTGTAACACACACGAAGGGGTTCTAAAAAGTTCATGGAGATGGCATGGAGAGATAGAGCAGCTGAGGAATCTAGACTTATGCAAAGAGAAAGGCTGTGTGCTGGCAGTCAAGAGGCAGGCTGGCAGAATGTGCCCTTTGGTTATTTAAATGATTATGTATTCCTAAGTGTTTTTATGTACATCTAAAAAAAAAAAAAACCCTGAGGGAATAGAAGCAAATACTATTGAATGATGATGCATGGAGGGGATTGTAATCATTGCAATGAAACAAAATATGATGGGATGAGTGTAAAGCTGATGTCCTCCCATGTAAACTATCACTTAATTCACAGTAAAATTTTTTTTTTAAAGTTCATGAAAAAATATCTTTATCTTTTAATTCCTTTTTTCCACAAAAATTTTGAAGCCTTGTCATTTATATCCTTTCCCTGTACTTTTCAGGCATTAACTGTTGGCTGACTGAAGCTAGAAATAAAAATAATTTTGCTTTAGCCACATTGTTTTTTGGTACCATTTAAATACGCTGTCTTGACCATTTTTTATTAATGGTCTGTGATGCTGCTGAAATATAAGAAAGAAAAGTAGAAAACTGGTTTGTCATAAAATTAAGTGCAGTGCTGGCTGATGTGATCAAACTATACCACAAAGGTATACAACCACTGAAGCCTGACCTTAGAATTAAATCGTGACAGAAATTGTCCTTTGTCTCTTACTACAAATGTTAATTCTGCTGCACAAGACCTCTTTGAAGTCTTAAAGAGCAAAGATGTCAGCTTGAGGACTAAGGTGCGCCTGATCCAAGCCGTGGTATTTTCAATAACCTAATATGCAGGCGAAAGCTGGACAGTGAATGAAGACAACCACAAAAGAATTGATGTATTTGAGTTGTGGTGTTGGAGAATACTAAAGGTACTACGGACTACCAAAAGAACAAACAAATCTGTGTTGGAAGTACAGCCAGAATGTTCCTTGGAAGACAGGATGGACAGACTGTCTCTCATACTTGGACCTTTAGTAAAGTGGAGGGCTGGAGAAAAAGAGGAAGACCCCCAATGAGATAAGATTGGCACAGTGGCAGCAGCAATGGGCTCAAACGTAGCAACGACTGTGAGATTGGTACAGGACTGGGCAGTGTTTTGTTCTGTTGTGTATATGGTCACTTGATAACACCTAACAACAAATGTTAATGTTTACAGTGACATGTCAGCACACTTGCCCACGTCTGTCTGCCCATTTGGATCTATGTCATGTGCTCATAAGGCGTCTGATATGCATCCCTGATCTCGCTGTCCGGTAATTGTGGGTTCAAATGATTCCCTCCCCAGGAGTTTTGCAGATTTAAGAAGCCAAATGACAAAAAACATAGTTCTTAACATTCATCCTGGACCCTCAGAGTAAATATGTACTGAATGAATGTGCTTACTTTAATTCACAACTGCATTTTAAAAAAGCAGAACAGGAAAAATATCCAATTTAATTTAGAGGAAAAAATCTGAAATTATTTGCAAAAACAGTTCTTTATTTTGTGATTACACTTATTGGAAGGGCTGGAGAAAAATAAAACTGTCACTTAGCCTATGAGCTTGCAAATCAACTCATTTCAAGAGTGGAAGAATCCTTGGTCATTTCTGAATATCTAATTTTACACAAGTTTCTCTTTTGAATATATTCTGTCTTAAAGAAGCAGTTGTATAAAGTCTCTTCATTTCCACACAGGACGCATTCAATGTTTCAGCCAACTCTCAGTGGAGGGGCAACCAACACAACACCATCTCCCCGAACAAAGAGCATCGGAATGTTCCGTTTTGTTGACTGGAAGAGAAAAAACAACAGAACACATTTAAGCAAATCTGTGTATTTATACAAAAAACATTTTTTTGTTAAATAAATTAAAAACAAACATGGGTTCATCATCACACACACAAAGTACTGATTCAAAAACCCAATTACTTATCTTATGTAGCACCTAAAACCAATGTATTCATTGCTTACTTTTCCTGGCTATCACTAATTGTGGCAGAGATTGGTGCTGTCACCAAAATGCATTTTCCATTGTTTCCTGGGCCTACAACACAGCTAGACTTCCTTGCAATTAGATATAGTAGCCATGCAATTTAGTTATACCCAATGGGAAGTGACTAGAGTGACTCAGGCTTACCTTTAAGCATACCATGAGCCCTTCTGTGGTCATTCCCCACCCCCTGCTCCTGCTGAATGGATTCAGACAGTGGTGAGAAGCCAGGGGATGGCAGCCTGGGTCTCTGACTGATCACCTGGAAAAAAGCTAGTATGACTTAAAATCCCACAGAACACTTTAAGGATTATGTGATCAGGAAATACACTTCTACTCTGCTAAGCCATTATATATGAGCTTCCGCAGTCACATATGTAGAACACAGATTTTTGTGGCATTAGCTTATGGGTCAGGCATCAGGTAATTAAAGAAACAGTTACAACAAGCTTTGAGTGTTTGAAACCCTGTTATGCATGAAATGATCTAGCCCAAGAGACTCCCAAACCTACAACTCTGAGAGGAGAGGCTGGGAAAAGGCAAATGTCAGTAGATTAAACCTAATGCAGTTCGCAAGGCAGGACTAGAAAGAGCTGAGCTCAGGGAAGAACTAGCTGGTTTACAAACAGAGATGAAAAGAAATAGGGAGATTGGAAGCATTTCACAGGGTGAAAGCTCCATTTCTAGATCACCAGATAAGCTGGGTGAGCTGGGATGAGGATGGGGTGTGCAGATTAATGATGTCGATGTCGCTTTCCCACCCAAACTTACTGGAGTAAATGACCTCAAGACAGCCACCAAGAACCTGAGGGAGAGCTAGAGGTGAGAAACTAAGGAAATAATTGAGTCCTACAAACTATGTCTCGCAAGAAACTTGACTGAAGTTGTTACGTGCTGTGGAGTCAGTTCTGACTCATAGTGACCCTATGTAGGGTTTCCCAGGAGCGACTGGCAGGTTTGAACTGACGACCTTCCAGTTAGATGTCCAGCGCTTACAAGTTCATAAAAATGACTGACACCTATGAAGTTCTGTTTTTTTAAGAAACTACACTGCCAAAGAAACCTAGGTCTTTGACTAGTCAAAGAAAAAAAGCCTGTAATTATTCCAATTGTCTTGCATTAGCAAGGAGAGTTGCTGTGAAAACGCCACAGCTCTTAATAATGGATGCCAGATTTAGCTGTAAAAATACAGAAGCTCGATTAAAAATTCTACATAAACATCAAATATTGCGGTGTATGTCCCAAATACTGCTAAGTGTTTACTGACTAATTGTATTCTGGGTATGGTTTTGGTTTGGCATCGTAACTGGCAACCCTTTCGTCAATGCCCACTTTTAGATGTGTCCAAGAAACAGAATATACATAAGGAAGTTTCTCCCAGAAAGAAAAAGCAGAGTCCACAGAGAACAGTGTACAAAAAGGAGTTTCTCTCAGAGAGGAACTTCAGGATTTCACCCAAGAATTTCTTTTACTATCAGGGAGGAAGACGTCAGCTTTTTCCCTTGGTATTTGTTATTGGACAGGAAGACAAGGTGGCACACACAGTTCGCACTCAACTGCTAATCCAAAAGTTGACGGTTCGAACCCACTGTGATATCGCAGAAAAAATAGGCCTGGTGAGCTGCTCCTAGTTCAGAGTATAGGCAAGAAAGTCCCTAAGCAGCTCACTTCTACTTTGTAACATGTCAGCAATGAGCAACAAGGACTTGAAGGATTTCATTCTATTTGGATGAATGCCATGAAAGTATTGATGAAAAAAAATCAAATGATGAATCACAATATGAAAATCTGCTGCCAAAAACCTTTCAAGTTCTAAAGAGCAAATATAACTAAGGTATCCAACCAAGTCTCTGACTCTTTGCAGCTGCCAAAGGAATCCTGGTATGGTGCTGTAAAATAAAACACTGGATTGCTAACTGCAAGGTTGGCAGCTCCTTGGAAACCCTCTACAGGGTCGCTGTGAGTCAACAGCACTTAACAACAAGATGCATGTATGTGAAAACTGGACAACAGAGAAGGAAGGGTCATGAAGAACTGATATATTTGAATTGTGTTGGCAAACAATACTGAAAATATCATGGTCTTCCAGAATGAATAAATCCATCTTGGAGGAAGAGTGCTTCTTAGAAGTGAGGATGGAGAGGAGTCTGTCTTGCTTACTTTGGATATAATTGTCAGTGAAGACCAGCTGCTAGAAAAGAACCTGTTCTGTATATGGTCAGTGAAAATGAGGGAAACCTTCAAAGACAAGATTTGACAAAGTAGCTACAACAATGGGCAATGTGTCATTCTGTTGTGTAGTTGCTACGAGTCACAGCCAACTGGACAGCAGTGACAGCTTTCCTGTCTTCTTTCCTGTTCTGAAAGGGAGTTTTTATGGTGGCTACCCTGGACCTGGACCAAGAGGCTGTTGTTCGAACAGAACACGGGAACACTGAATGGTTTGAAAATTAAGAAAGGTGAGCAACAGAGTTGTATTCTTTCACTATACTTATTCAACCTGTATGCTGAGCAAATCATCCGAGAAGCTGGGGTTCTATGAAGAAACACGTGGCATCAGGATAGCAGAAAGACTCATTAACAACCTGCGATATGCAGATGATACAGCCTTGCTTACTGAAAGTGAAGAGGACTTAAAATATTTACTGATAAAGATAAACAACCACAGCCTTCGGTATGGATTGCATCTCAATGTCAAGAAAACAAAAATCCTCACCACTGGACCAATAAACAACATTCTTATCAATGGAGAAAAGATTGAAGTTGTCAAGGACTTCATTCTTGGATCAACTATCAACACTCACAGAAACAGCAGTCAAGAGATCAAACGACATATTGCATGAGGCAAATCTGCTGCACAAGACCTTTTTAACGTGTTGAAGAGCAAAGATGTAAGCTTGAGGACTACGGTACGCCTGATCCAAGCCATGGTATTTTCAATAACCTCATATGCATGCAAAAGCTGGACAGTAAATGAGGACGACTGTAGAAGAATTGATGCATTTGAGTTATGGTGTTAGAGAAGAATATTGAAAGTGCCATGGGCTACCAAAAGAACCAACAGATCTGTGTTGGAAGAAGTGTAGCCAGAGTGCTCCTTGGAGGCCAGGATGGCCAAACTTCGTCTCTCATACTTCAGACGTACTGTCAGGAGGGACCAGTCGCTGGAGAAGGATATCATGTTTGGTAAGGTGGAAGGTCAGAGAAAAAGAGGAAGACCCCTAATGAGATGACCACGTAGCAGCATCCATGAACTCAAGCGTGGCAACAGCAGTGAGGTTGGCCCAGGACCTGGCAGTGTTTCATTCTGCTGTGCATAAAGTCGCTATGGGTCGGTACCGACTTGATGGCACCTAACAACAACAAATCGTGACGCTGCTCTGCTACATGTGGGAGGGGAAAGAATTCATCTTTTTAATTTTACAGTTCTCTGCTTCACTAATGACCACATGTGAACCTGACAGAGAACTGTAACTCATCTGAGCTAGATGTCTTAGCTGCTTCCTTTGGGGTAGGGGTGCGGATTCTGTCTGCATCACTGACTCCTGTCTTTATGGCAACTTGACTCCCACAGCTCAGCAGCCATGCTGGCACCAGTGTACTCAGCCTGGCAGAGCGAAATCACAAGTCAGCCAGGCACTGTCAGGAATGCTGCCTAGTGGGAGCTTTCCAGTAGACACAGGGCTCGAGTTCTCTGAGGCTGCTCAGTGAATGGGTGGGTGCAGGAACCTCTCTGGCTCAACTGTCCCAGGTTCTACATAAGAACCGCAATCTCCTCTAACAGTACAAGCAGGGGGGCAATCCAAGGGTCACAGCACATTCAGGAATGTTGTGAGTTTCTAACAATATTTTAGCATTCACACTTCTCCCAGTTCACATGCACATCACTGATGGTGAGGGCATTCCTAGTAATACTGGCATGGCCACTCACAAGTTTAGCGTAGTGGTTACGAATTGGGCTGCGAACCGCAAGGGCAGTAGTTCGAAACTACCAGCCGCTCCGTGGGAGAAAGATGAGGCTTTCTGCTCCCATAAAGATTTACAGCCTCGGAAACCCTGTACAGGGTCGCTGTGGGTCGGAACCGACTCGACGGCACCTAACAACAACAAGACACTATCCATAACTAGGAGTTAGAACAGAAACTTGAGAAACTGTATTAGGCCAACTGAATGGATTATCTCATAATACCATCACCCTAAACTTAATTTCATGATATTTGGTTGTACCAGTAGCTATATCTTTTTGTTCTGTTTTGTTGTTGACTTCCCAGAGAATGCCCCTCCCCCACAACCATGGTTACTAATACAATTGGTCTTTACATATTCATCTGGCAAACCTAACAAAAGAAAAGAGGGAGAAGACACAAATAACACACATTAGAAACCACATGGGCGATGTCACAATGGAACCGCAGGAAATCAAAAGGATAATAACAGATAGTATGAAGAGTTATACTCCAACAAATTCGAAAATTTAGAAGAGATGGATACATTTTTAGAAAAACACGACCTACCTAAACTTACACAGAGTGAAGTAAAAACCTTAACAGACCCATAAAAAAAGAAGAACTTGATCAGGTCATCAAAAAACTCCCAACAAAAAGAAGCCCAGGCCCAGATGGCTTCACTGGTGAATTCTACCAA